CTACGGACAGCTCGTAAAGACCTAGACCTAGACCTAACAGAAGTTCATACAATGACCGTTTAAGTTGTATTGGGTAATGATGTAAAACTGAGGAGTTAGGTAATGCTTTATGAATTGTGGTCAACCCTCGATTTTGAAAATGTTTTTAGTTTCTATGATAAAGAAATAAACAGTATTTCCTTTTTTTTTGTAAAGGGTATGTATACATAGAATTGAAGTCTTTTTCTGTAAACAAGTCATGTTTTTTTGCTTTATGATACGAGTAGTATCGAAAACATGACCGCGGTAAAATTCTTAGAACGGTTTTGTAACAAATCATGATTTTGATTGGGAAACAAAATTTATGGTGTTGTTTAAAAGTGTATAAATATTTATCAACTGTTGGCAAATATTTCGTTGGTACAAGAAATTAAGATCTTAAATAAATGTTATAGGAGAACTACTAAAGGCACATCTTAAAAAATATTTATTTTTTTACAAAAACAAATAAGATATATATATTAATAGCGATTGCATAATAAGTACCTATTACATAATTTCCTGCAAATGCATAGAAAGGAGAGGCCTATGTCCAGCAGTGGACTATTAAAGGCTGTTGATCTATACAAATCAGCCTAATTTAGAAACTTACACATCGAATAAACTATCTATTTGTAGCTTAAGTACTTCAACTTATAACGAACAAAAACAACTTGAAGACTCCCGGTAAAAACATCAAGCTGCTGTTTTGAAAGTCGTTACACATTGTGCGACTTGTCCAATTTTCCCCCTTATTTTGAGGGCGCATTAGGGCAGCCAATTATGTTGAGGCTATAAAAAGCAAAGTTTAGTAAGGATATGTGCCGTAAAACTTCTTTAATGGCTGATAAAGTTTGGCTGGAGCTCATTTAGACTACTAGACTTATTTGCAGGCAAGACTAGAATAAAGTTACACTGCATAGAGTATGACAATGTGTAGGTATTGTGTTAATCTTGAAAAACATTATAATTGTAACTTTAATGAAAATAGTAAACTGTACTTTTCAGAAAAAACTTTGCAGAATTTTCAGTCTGTTAGAAAAAACCAAGCTTAAAAACGGTAAAAAAGAAACAAAAAGTATCTCGCTCGGAGAGCATCTCCAACCCATTTGACTAAAAGCTATTCGATTTTTTTTATAGTGCATCACAATGCCACTTAAATAAACAAATCTTTCTTGCAGATTTTCCTGTTCTCATATTTTTGTTTACTAAGGATGCTTATTATATAGTCTAATATTATCTAACAGCCGGAGGGTATAATGGTTTGCGTAACGGATGCTTGGTCGTCGCGGTTTCGATTCTCGCTCAAGCTCCCAAACATTTTGTGTGCAAGAAAATTTAATGTTTGATTTGGTCTGGGTGTTTCCTATACCATAGTTTGTTTGTTTTTTACAAAAAAAGTATAAATATATTTATATGAGTTGTCTCGTACCCATAGCACAAGCTTAGTTTGGGACGATATGGCGTTGCGTAAATGTGGTAGAATTTAATATTATTATTATAGGTTTTGTGACGGATTAAGAATACAGAGTGTCACCACCCCTAATCATCCCGTGGGTGTCGTAAGAGGCAACTAAGGGAAAAAACTACGCAGAGCAACAGCACTGCAGAGAGAAGGAAAACTTGACACAAACCCTATACCAACCCGCCTGGCCAGCGTGGTATAGTAGGCCAAAACCTCGTTTCTAAGGAGAGGCCTACGTCCAGCAGTGGACTGTTATAGGCTGGTGATGATGATGATGATGATGAGGTTTTTTTTATAATTTAGCGATTGCACAGGCTAGGTGGAGTGACGATTTGCGCAAGATGGCTGCAGGAGCTGGATGCGAGAAGCCTAAAATCCTAAAAAGCCTAAAAAGAAATATTAGCATTAAGCAGAGCTTGTACTATAAAAACTAGATTGACTGATATAATATATACAAACATTTGGTGCGACCCGGGAATCGAAGCCAAGACCTCAGCACAGCAGTCGTATACGCCACCACTGTACCACCGAGGCAGTTAAAAAAAGTTATGATTTAAGGTCTTCTACTAGGTACTTTTGGTAATTTGATGATGCAGTAAACAGATGCGTGATGTATCATAATATCCACAGTTGCGTCATATCTTATTTGCCTTATTTACTAGTAATTATTTTAGATAAGTAGACGTCCGCCATTGCCCAATTTTTTTCGATTTCTCAATATTTTATTGCATGTCCCAATACTAATAATTACAGGTGTTATTAATAACTTTCTGATGATGATGGTTTATGCTCTCCATAGGAGCCTTATTACCCCAGCGTTGGGTATAGGCTAGAATAAAAATCATAGTTAAAAATAGATGTTCCACGAGAACTCTTTCAAATGATACCTTCCCGAAGAAATTTAATGAAGTTTGAAACAGATATTTTATAAGCAATTAATTCTAAGTACAATTTAACTTTAACGATTAAACTTCAGAAACTTAAAAAAGAGTTTACTACTTCATTTAGCGATTTTCCAAATGAAGTATTGGATGGTTGCTTAAATTCCGTGAAAATTATTTTCGTAGTTAAGTGAATTAAACTTGAGAATTACAGACAGATCAAAAGTATTGTTACTTTAAAACTCTAGCTATAAGATGATTTAGCAAGAGAAACCCTCTATTTGTGGAGCAATCCATTCTATTAACTGTTTTTCTGAGGCATTGTTACACAATTTTGGCATTTTTGGTCTAAAAGATTGGTCTGTTAATCTTACGATCACATGGAAATATGGCAGTTAAAAAAGTATTTGTTATTTAATCACACCAAAACAGCTCAACGGATCTGGCTGGAATTCAATTTCAGAAATGATTTAAAGTCTAGAAAAGCACATACGAATATTTTCTTTACCGGGAAATTGTTAGACAAATCGATATTAACGCAAAAAAGCCGCAGGGAAAAGCCAGTACCTATAGATACACAAAATTAGAGTTGAAATTTAATCTTTCAATAGTTTATAATAATGTATATAGATTACTAGCTGACCCGGCAAACGTTGTTTTGCCAAAAAAAATATTTAGGGATGGGTCACCCTTACCATTTAGACCTACCCGATGTGCACACAAAATTTCATGAGAATCGGTCAAGCCGTTTCGGAGGAGTACGAGAACGAACATTGTGACACGAGAATTTTATATATAAGATGGTGATATCTCAAGAAAAATAAATTGTAACGAAATTGCAGAATAAATTTTTAATTACTTTGAGAAATATTTTCGTGTTACCACCTACTTTTTTTTTCATTCTTAACTGTCTAGTTGGCGCAGTGGTAGCGTATGCGATTGCTGTGCTGAGGTCTCGAGTTCGATGCTTGGTTGAAACCAAACGTTTGTATGATCTGTAAATATTTCTTTCGGACTTTTTGTGTTTTTTATGTATAATATGTATGTATTTACTAAAAAAAGTATATAAGTAATCTATCAGTCAATCTAGCCTTCATAGTACAAACTCTGCTAAGTGTAAAACTAGATGGCGGTTGTGCCAGATTTCGAAAATATTATTCTAAACATTATTCTAAATATTATTCTAAACTGAAAAACAATCGTATTATTAAATCAAGAAGTTTAAAAGTATAATAATAATAAAATATATACCAGCCCATTACTTTTTTACAAAGCAGCTGGCTTCTCAATAACACCGAAGCGGTTTCTCGTTTACACTCTTGAATTTTGACTCAAAAGTTTTAATAACATTTCTACTTGATCATTAGGTTTACCATTCGTCAAATGGCGTGAAGAACAGCCTAAGACTAAAATCAGTTTCAAATATTAAATACCTTTAAAATGTATAAAAGTGCGGGAGTTGTCTTTAAAAAAATAAAAATGTGTGTGTTGACTACGAGCACAAACTCTTGCCTACTTTTGAATGTAACATACAATTCAATTTAAACCTCCTTTCTAAGGAGCGGCCTATGTCCAGCAGTGGACTAGTAAAGGCTGTTGATGTGATGATGTGATACAATTCATTTAGATGATTTATAGAAACTGTGGAGAATAATAGAAAATGTAAAATTTGAGATTTTCTCAAAAAATTATTGTAAGTAATCGCTTAAACGCCTGTGTTCATTTAAAGCTATGCTCCTATTGAATCAAAAGGTACAAGAGGGAGATGAGACTTATTCATCTTTCATATAATAATATAAAAAGGTAAGAATTGGTTCAGAATTACCAAACGTGATGGAGGGACTGGTGTCTACTAAAACTAGAATCTCTACAAGACGTAAAGATTCGAGTTCGAGATTGTGGGATCGGTTCCCACCCTAGACAAATTATTATAAAATATAATAGTTTCAAACTACACAGAACTTGTATTATGAGAGCTAGATTGACTGATAGAATACTTATAAACTTTTCTTTTGTAAATATATACGAGTACATATTATACATAGAAAACACTCAAACTCCGATACAAATATTTGCAGATCATAGAAACATTTGTTGCAACCCTGGAATCGAACCCGCGAGGTAAGCACAGCAGTCACATACGCTACCGAGGCAGTCGGCAACAGCAATTGTTGAGCATGATTATTTATTTTGAGTCTCAGTCTACAGGTACCACCTAGTTTAGTTACAGATTTATTGAATATGCGACAGAACGTTATTGAAAAATTCTACACATAAATAGCTATAAACAAAATAATTTGGAAACGGGTTCATACAAATCTTTGACGAGCCTATTAAAGTTGAATTTCTTTCTTTGTGCCTCCACTTTTCTTTTTAATTTTCCAATCTTTATTATAATTTCCCAAGCCACAAAAGACACTGTAAAAGCCCTCTCTCGTGGACCTACTTCTGAATTCGCCAAGAGTACTTCAATATCAATCCACTTAATATAAGTGCCTGTTGTGATGAAAGATAAAATTCTATCTGAACAAAGCCTTTTCTCGTAAGAAATATTAAGAAAATCGATTTATTCACATTGTGCTGTTCAAATTATTTAAAACTTAAAATTTACTTCTCAAAATCTGTTATCGACTTCAATGCACCTAAGTAATTTTCAATCGTTAAAGGTGAGTTATTATTTTGAGAGTTTCGAATGTAGTCCATTCATTAAAAAAAACAGTAATATATAGCATATTGTTTCTTTTTATTTAACCATGGGAGAGCAATATTTTTTTCTTCTTCTTTTCCTTAAAAAGGCAACTCCCGCACTAGGAATATATCCTGTGTCGCTGGGTAATTTACAAATATACATGAAATGGACACAAATAATACCCAGACTTAGAACGACAATTTGTGGATCACACAAAGTGTCGTCCCATGTGGGGATCGAACCCACAACACTCGACGTAGTAGGAAGCGGCGTGGCGATCGCTTAAGCCACTACGTCATCCGAATTCGACACTTATGGGACGGCTCGACCGTAGTGAAACCACGACCCACAGAAAACCAGTGTTAAGTAGTTAATTCGATGCTCATGACCGAGTAAGTGAAATTATTGGAGTGCCAACTCCCCTCCCTAACTCTGGGGAGCCCACTCAAAGAGCGGCATTGAACTTGTAAGCCGGCCGTTCATGGGCGGCGGTAATCACTTTCCACCAGGTTACCCGTCTGCTTGTTTGTCTCCTAAATCTTCAAAAAGAAAATAAGGTTAGAGTCAGATGATCATGAAACATCTATTTGAAGCAATCCCATCTGAATTGAATAAATATGTTTTAAATATAATATAATGTTATAAATATAAATATATATATAAATTATAGATACCTTAAAAAATAATCATTAATAATAAAACAAATACTTATCGACAACAACTCCTTTGAAAGGAGGTGTTGTCCTACTATACACATATACAGGTTGGTATCACACCACCCCGCAGCAAACCACGGTGGGGTTCGGCCCGAGGGGATACCCACACGTAAAAAAAAAAGTTTGTGTCAAGCTTTCCTTCTTTTTGCAGTACTGTTGTCCTGCGTATTTTCATCCCTTAGTCGGCGGGTTACTAAACCATTGTAATTTATTACTACAAAAATGTGCAACTGACTTCAATAGATTACAGGAAAGTGAAAGAAGTAACCTACACAAAATTTGCACTCAAATGAGTTGTAACAAAGATCTAATGACACATTTTCTTTTGTCAACAGAACACCCTGGCTATATTGGACAAACTTGATATCGATAGTGAGAAGCCATCAGAAGAAGAGGTTGCAAGAATCTTCGGTTACGACGAGGACGCATACAGAGCTGGGGAGCTTGGAGTATGGCAGAGAGTCAAACCCAAGGTCTGGGCGCTGTTCGATGAACCCAGTAGCAAGGTGAGTGAAGTTAACATATATATTTTGTTATATTGTTATGTTTACGTAATATGCTTTCTTTGTTATACATACTTGAGATGACAGTACGTAACCGAATTAAGATTGTATATATTTGCTGACGGTTGACTGAGAGTCATAGTATATTTATTTATTTATTTATTTATACTTCCTGCAAATACATTGCATAAGGCGGACTTAATGCCATAGGCATTTTCTTCCAGTCAACCTTGGGGTGATGCAGAGATTTGTGTATGGCAGGTATATGATGAGGTAAATTATTTAAATTGTAGTCGGTTGCAAGATGGATACATATATAAATGCAAATATCATTTATACGTACTATATAATACTATAAATATAAAGAAAAAAAAAAAAAAACATAAACATACACACATACATTCATACATACATGCCTGCGTTGATGAACACACAAGGGGTTATTTGGATGACTCCGTCAACAAGTCTCCATAAAGCTTGCGTACTCTGGTCTTAAAGATTGTTCGGTTGGTGGATGTCCTGATCTCTAGGGGAAGGGCGTTCCAAAGATTTACCGCTTGGACAGTGAAGGAAGAATGTATGATACGGGAGCTATGTGAAGGACAAAGAAGGAGGAAATTATCAGCGGAGCGAAGGCTTCTGTCATGGTTGGAGGAGAGATATTGCAGGTGGGATGTTAAGTAAGTAGGTGAGGTAGGTGTGTGGAGAAGGGAGTGCAACATAGTCAGCGCCCGCAAACTGCGGCGCTGTCTTATAGGTAGCCATGACAATTGACTGCGATAAGCGGATACATGATCGTACTTTCGAAGGTTGAATATGATATATGACTCAGCTTCTTTTTTATTTTCAATCAAAGCGTGTTTTTTTGGAACGAAGTGATAACATACGCTCTGAGTCGATGGGAGCGAGATCGAAAAATGTGAAACAGGACTTTTTTCCGACACTTCTTGCTATAGTTACAGCCGTGTATGAACTATATACACAGTTCTCCCTCGCGCCGAAATAGCTTAATTATCCCAGATCATTCTGTGTTTAATTTATCATTATTTATTTTATGAATAATGAATTCATGACAAATCATTGTATTCTTAATGTCTTTGGCCTTGGTCTTGGGCCTTAAGCAGGTAATCCATAAAGTGGTGACAGCAGTGATATAATTCGCTACCAGTTTCTTGACTTTTATGAAGATTGTTTTTCTTATTGTATTTTGTTACTAATTGTTCTAAAACCTAAAATAACAAGATTAAATGTGATCGTTAAAGTAATGGTAAAATAAATAGCAAGGCAATGCTTTTATACTTACTTATAGTAAGTGCAGTCACCCTTTGCATCGGTGTCAGACGACTCACACCTGGTGCCCGTCACTTTATCCGGTGATAAAAGTCCACACACACAAAGTTCAAAACTAGTCGAGCATAAAAAATTATATTGAAGATAATTGTACAAAATTATATTGAAGATAAATGATACACGTAAAACTGTAACATGTGTGTAAGTCCACTGTTGGATATAGAAAGCACGTTTTAGCCTACTATACCACGCTGGCCAGACGCGTTTGTATAGGGTTTGTGTCAGGTTTTCCTTCTCTTTGTAGTGCACTACCCCCCCCCCCCTCTCCCAATTTTGGATGGGGGTTGATTTAACATCACTAATCCATTCATTTTTTTTATTAATTTTCTGATCCTAAACTGACAGAGCCTGTACTATGGTAACCAGACTACTGATAAACATACTTATATATTTCTAAATACATACATATTATACGAGTAGATAAAGTACACCCAGACACAGAACAAATGCCCGTACTCATCATAGAATTATTTGTCCTGAGGTGGAATCGAACCCACAACGTCTGGCGTAGCAGTCAGGGTTAATAACCACTAGACCAACAGTCCGATCAAAATTATTCCTCTGTCTCTCTGTGACCTCACTCACTCAATAAAAATCAACAAAGGAATTGGTAACGTTGAATATAAAACCGTAAAAATCAAAAGGAATTATTTCAATTATCTCACACACTTGGTGAAATAATTCTTTAACACTGGTTTTCTGTGAGGCCTTGGTATCACTACGGTCGAGCCTAGCCCATCTGTGCATGGCTCTCCTATGATAATTTTGCATATACATTACAAAGAAAGATGATAGAATACCCATCATCATTATCATCAGCCTATCGCAGTTCACTATCGGACATAGGCATCTCCTATTGCACGCCACTTCGATCAAATATCGGCTTCTCGTATCCAGCTCCTGCCAGCCATCTTACGCAAATCGTCACTCCACCTGGCCTGTGGGCTTCCTACACTACATTTGCCGAGACGCGGTCTCCACTCAAAAACGCGTTTACCCTAACAGTTGTTGGTTTTGCGGCTAACATGGCTAGCACACTTTCACTTCAGTTTCATACCACGACGTTTTGACGGGCCTGTTGGTCTGGTGGTTAGTGACCCTGACTGCTAAACCGGGGGTCGTGGGTTCGATCCCCACCCAGGACAAATATTGTGTGATGAGCACGGTCATTTGTTCTGTGTCTGGGTGTAATTTATCTATAATATGTATGTATTTAGAAATATATAAGTATGTTTATCAGCGGTCTGGTTACCATAGTACAGGCTCTGCCTAGTTTGGGATCAGACGGCCGTGTGTGAGTGTGTGAGATATATTATTATTATTATTATACCAAAAAAAAAATTGTTAAGGGGAAGAAAGTTCAGGCTAAAAAAAAAAAAAACTCTCTTCATTAGAGTACCATACGTATGCACGTGTACGGGTTCCTATTAGTAACGTAACTGTGGTCTCGATATATTCCTTTCAAATATTGTACCAGGTGCAAAATCTTTTGTCTTTTCATCCGTTACGATTTCCTCTCTTCTGGAAGTAATGTTCTTTCAAAAGTTACTTTTTCGCAACATCTGTCTACGTTTTCAATCAATTTTTATTTCATAAGTTTTTTGGCCTTTATTTATTTGATTGATACATTTATTAAACTTTTATTTACTGGTTCTTGCTGTGCGTGTACTTGGTTGCTTGTGTATGGTGAATCTTGCTGTAAGTTCTTGATCAATTTATAGTGAAATTGAAGAAGTGATTAGCTACGAGAAAAAAAATACAACCCTCTTTTTTCATTTTAATTTATTTAATAAGATTGTATAAATAAAATAAAGCTTGATACAAGATACAATGTATTCTGCATAATTGGTCTCAGTAAATGTAAAATAATAATTATAATATTATAACAAAAATATTTCTTAACATCATCGGTTTTATTAAAAATCTTATCGTTTGTAGGATAACAATTGGCATTTTCATGTATTTATGAAAAAAAAAGAGCGATTCCTTTTCCTGATACATTTAAATGAAAATGTAATTTGTTCTTATAAAACTGTTGCGCCATAGGATTAAGTAGTTCGGTTGTTCTAGAATTGGATGTAATGTTACGGACAGCGCCATCTAGTATTACATTAATCACAACTATTGAGATTGTGAATAATAATTCTGATACTTACAGCACTAGATGGCGCTACAAGTAACCCGTATTCTTATTTGTCTGGAACGTACTATCGAATACTAGGGATCATTATAGTCAATTCGATAACAATATAAAAACAAAGCGTGTTGGCCTTACGGGACAGTATCCTTCTACGACAGCAAATTAACATCGAGTTCAAGGATCATAATTTTATTCATCATATTTTTTTTGTGCTTCTACTGATGCTTCCAACAGACAACTGTGTGAAAAAAAGCCTTAAGAAAATCAGTCATGTTAATTTTATATTCATTGAATGTTGTTACAATCAAACTAAGACACAACACTTGTTTACGAGAACGAACAATTCATGTCACTGCCAAGCAGCCTTGTCATTAAAAAAATTTATTAATCTTTCAAATTTTTTCTTGTAACCTTCAACAATAAAAGGAATCTTCGCATTTGAAGGTTAAGAAGTTTAATGAAAAGAATAGACGGATGGCGTAGTGGTTTAAGTGGTCGCCTCGCCGCTCCCTACTAGAGTTGATTCCATCCCAACATGGGACAACACTTTGTAGTCCACAAATTGTTGTTCTCAGTTTGGGGAGTCTTTGTGTCCGTTTCATGTATATTTATATAGGATATATTCCTAATGCGGAAGTTATCTTTTAAAGAAAAAAACGTAAAGAATACTTACGAGTACTTACTACATTTAATGTAGTTGAATGTCAAAGGCACTATAATTTTGAACTGCAAAGCTAAAGGCTAACACACAAGAGTTTAATTTGATACTAGAACATTTTTCACGTTCTGAATGCAGTTGATGAAGCCAGTGTGTCCATTGGACGGATGGCGTAGTGGTTTAAGCGGTCACCACGCCGCTTTCTACTACGCCGAGTGTTGTGGGTTCAAACCCCACATGGGACGACACTTTGTGTGATCCACAAATTGTTGTTCTGAGTCTGGGTGTTCTTTGTGTCCGTTCCATGTATGTTTGTAAAGTCCCCCGCGACACAGGATATATTACTAATGCGGGATATATTACTAATAAGTGTTTCTTTATATTCGTTTTCTCTAATGTTTTCTATTTAACGTACGTTACGTTACGTAACATAAAAAGTGTTAAAAACCGTTTCAAGGGTGATGTTTTCCTGTCTATATAACTTTTTTACATGTAGTATGCAGTCATATAGATGATAATGTCCTCAGTGATGACGTCGATGGCGAAACCTACCAAGGATTTTTGTCTTAGAATATAGTATACGCCATTGTCTAAGCATGGCCCATCTTCTCTTGTTCATAAAGGTTGCTCGAAGAGTAGTTGTTTTGTTTCTACGATAAGAGCGCCCTTTACATATTTAGGTAATGTATTTCTTCTAAAATTCTATTGGTACACATGTAGTAATAGTTATTTTGACGACCGGATGGCGTAGTGGTTTGGGTAACGGACAGCTATTCGGAACGTAGCGGGTTCGATTCCTGCTCAAGTCAAACATTTGTGTGCATAAACATTTAATGTTTGATTTGGTCTGGGTGT